CTAATTCTTGACCATGGCTGTTTTGTTTTTGTTCTTCTAATTAAGGTAAGTGTGATATTCCTCTTGGAGTGGAAAATCATGGCGTCCCTAGCCAACTCATCACTGCCTCCTCGTATTACAACTTCTGGGGTGCACCAAGAAATGCTAGACTACGCCAGCGGCGTGTTGGACGATCAGGAGGGTCATGGTATGTCAAACGAAATGACAAACGCCAGTGGCTGAAGATCGACTTTGGTGGACTCACTCGTGTGTGGCGAATTGCCACTCAAGGTCGACAGAATGCAGACCAGTGGGTCACAAGTTACTATGTGTCCTACAGTGTTAAGGGATTCCGTTTTGTGACCTACAAAGAGTACGGAAGGACAAAGGTTGGTGTTAATTTTGTTGATAAAGCGGTTTTCAATTGAGCGTCGAAAGTAATTGGTTTTGCATTAACTACGCTGGACGATTGGCTTAAAAAACTCGCACCACTTTTTCATCGAATCAGAAGTGAAACCAACACCAATCTTGACTCACTCGCACGCGTTTCTTCCGCGCTTTGTGTCAGCTACATGTAATTGCTTCGAGTTTTGATTGGTTCACTGTATTGTATGATTGGCTAGAATGATTACTTTGATTTTGATTTTACGACAATCAAATGAAAACCGCCTTAATAGAGCGGTTTTCAGTCGAGTGTCGTGAAACCAAAATCAAACCAATTACTTACCAATTAGACTACTCAGTCAATCTCAAACCGTAGTAAAACCAAAAACAGAACCAAAGTAATTGGCTGATTACTTTCGACACTCAGTTGAAAACCGTCCTATTCATCGTACAAAATTCAACAACACAAAGAGTAAAGGAAATCATAGGGATTAAATTGCATCACCAAATTCACAAGAGAATTTATCTCAGAACAGAACGAGATTGCGGGAAGTGGACCTATATACCCCACAGAGATTGGAGGGAGATAAGTCAGGTCAAGTTACCAAATTCTCAGAACTACAATGTATCATCACTTGAACTAAAGAAATGTAGTACATTGTATGGTGATCAGTAAGGAGACTTTATTACTCGATCAGAGACAGTTAGGAGGACTTTTTAAATTGCACAACGCAATTCTCCCTCTATCCTGCGGATGTTAATTTTGATTTTGTCAGAGAGTAGGTGGAGGGGGGTTATATCCCATACTAGTGTTCAGTGGAAATTGTTGTACAAGGTAGTGATAGAGATGAGGCTCTTGGGTTAAATGAAGTGTTTCACACTCGTGGCTAGCAGCCATGCAAATTTATGGAAACAAAAAATAACATTTTGAGTCATTCAGCTTAAATGTCCATTACGTTTTGTCTCTCTTACTCCGACGTTTTAGTCACAATACTCTCACACCTGGATTTTCTTATCTCACTGCAGGCCCAAGATGTGATAAACCATTAGGAATGAAAAACGGCCGTATACATGCCAATCAAATCACAGCATCTTCCATGTGGGATCGTAATCATGGACCAAGCAATGCCAGACTGTATTGGCGTAGAACCCGCGCCAGAACCGGGGCGTGGTCCGCTCGTCATAACAATCACTACCAGTGGTTGTTAGTGGATTTCAAACGTCCTATGCGGGTGGTGAAGATAGCCATTCAAGGACGACAGGATGCGCGTCAGTGGGTGACAAAGTTTTTTGTGGCATACAGTCAGGATTGTGCACATTTTGCTGAGTATAAAGAGAACAGCAATAGAAAGGTGTGTATATCGATTTATCAGTACCTTAGATTGAATATAATGAGACATTGGGTAGT